AACACACAAATAAAATTAGGTTAGGAATTTCCTATCTGTACATGAAATTGACGTTTAGCAATCGACGATAAATAAGGATGGTTATTCTAAACGGGTATTAAAAATACCATATCTTCATTAGGTTTCAGTTGCCAGGTTTGTGTGCACGCTCCGAAAAAAGATCAGGTCATTAATCAGTGTGTAACTACTTGTGAAATGATTCCCAAAAAAATTGTGTCGTCAGCAAAGAATGTCAGGTCAGATTTGATGGAGTCGGTCAGGTCTGCAATTTAGAGCAGTGGACCCAGGACCGAACCCTGTGGTACTTTGTTAAGAACATCCTAGGGTTTGGACAATCGCTTTTCAACTCTTAACTTGCTTTCAAAAAATGTTCGATTAAGGTAATTAGTAATCTCCTTCGTATGCGAAGTTTTATCAAGAGTCTCCAGTTTTATCAAGAGTCTGGTATGTGGCACCTTATCAAAAGCCTTTTCATAGTCAAAATACACTATGTTCACGGGTTGGTACTCAGTAAATGTTATTTCTCACCTTGACGTAGGCTGTTTAAACAGCTGACGACTTAGTTATGACGTCGGAAATGGTAACCCCCAATATGGCGGCAATTACCAATCTTGTATGTGTGTATCTTTCTTGTTTCGCTGCCGGGGTCTTTTTAAATCATGAACTCGGAGGACCGGAGTCTCTATAAACTTTATAAATTTCGAGCTCGTAGGGCCAGGGTTTTTGTAATTACGAGCCCGAAGAGCCGAGGTCATTTTATATAACGAGTCCGAAAGTCCGGGGTCTTCTTATGAGCCCGAAGGGCCGGGGTCATTTTGAATCACGAGCCCCTAGAGCCGGGCTCGTTTAAATCATGAATTTATAGGGCAAGGGTTTTTGTCTGGTAATACGCACGAATGTTTATAAAACCCCGGCCCTTCCGGGTCGTATAACTACGTCCCTCCGGGCTCGACAAATTCTGATCCTTCGGGCTCGTATAACCTCGGCCCTCCGGGCTCGTGATTAAAATAACCCCGGCCCTTCGGGTTCGTAATTAAAATAACCCTAGCCCTCCTCTCGAGATTTGAAGAAAACATATGGCAAGTTATAACACAACAAACGTGAAAAAATTGACGTTTCAAAATAGGCCTTGTTTTCTTCGACAGTCGATACAAAATAGCGTCTTTTTGTTTCAAAGATTACGGCCCAAAGAGCCGGAATATTAAAATGAGTTGACAATGAATGGGCTCGTATAACTCCGGCCCTTCGTTCTTCGGGCTCGTATAACCTCGGCCCTTCGGGCTCGTAACCTAATTAAAATAACACTGGCCTTTCAGGCTCGAGATTTGAAAAAAAAAATATGGCAACACTGCTTATGATACAACAAACGTCAAAATTTGACGTTTTAAAGTAGGCCTTGTTTTCCTCGATAGTCGATACAAAATGACGTCTCTTTTTTTCAAAGATCACGACCCGAAGGGCCGAAGTATTAAAATCAGTTGACAATGAACGGACTCGTATAACTCCGGCCCTTCGGGCTCGTAAGGTATTTAAAATAACACTGGCCTTTCAGGCTCGAGATTTGAAAAAATATATATATGGCAACACTGCTTATGATACAACAAACGTCAAAAAATTGACGTTTTAAAGTAGGCCTTGTTCTCTTTGATAGTCGATACAAAATGGCGTCTTTTTGTTTCAAAGATTATGGCCCAAAGGGCCGGAGTATTGAAATCAGTTGACAATTAACGGGCTCGTATAACCTCGGCCCTTCGGGCTCGTAACGTAATTAAAATAATATGTACTGGCCTTTCAGGCTCGAGATTTGAAAAAAAAAATATATGGCAAAACTGCTTATGATACCAAAAAATTGACGTTTCAAAGTAGGCCTTATTTTCTTTGACAGTCGATACAAAATGGCGTCTTTTTGTTTCAAAGATTACGGCTCAAAGGGCCGGAGTAATAAAATCAGTTGACAATGAACGGGCTCGTATAACTCCGGCCCTTCGGGCTCGTAACGTAATTGAAATAACACTGGCTTTTCAGGCTCGAGATTTAAAAAAATTTATATGGCAACACTGCTTATGACACAACAAACGTCAAAAAATTGACGTTTCAAAGTAGGCCTTGTTTTTCTTGACAGTCGATACAAAATGGCATTTTTTTGTTGCCTTGAGCGCTCAAAATTGAAAACACTTTCGCTACTGGGGCTTGAAATTAGGAAAAAACGCCATTTCGACCCAAGGATGATACACACTACTACTACAGAATAGCCTATCCTCATAAAGTCTGTGAGGAACAAATTTACCCCTTCTCCTCCCAAGCCAAATCACCAGTTGTGACGTAGGAAGCATGTTATTTCTCGCCTTGACATAGGCTGTTTAAACAGCTGACGACTTAGTTATGACATTGGAAATGGTGACACACCAATATGGCGGCGATTATTTAAAAACGAGACCGATAAGCAATCTTGTAGGTGTGTATCATCCGTGCCTCACTGTGGGAAGTGCTGGACTTATAGCTATGAGATGAAAAAATGTGACGGCTCGGACAGGAAAAACTGTTGCTTTAAATGCGGAAAGCAGGGAGACGCAGCTGAAGCTTGTACTGAAGAAAAGGTGTCATTCCAGTTATGTAACGGAGAGGACCACAGGACGGGTACCGCCAGCTGCAGGACGATGTCTGTCAGACGGAAGAAGATTTACAATGAAAAGAAAATACAGGAAGTCGAAGAAATAGGTGTGTATCAAAACTTCCAAAATGATAAATAGCAGGAAGAAAATGATAAAAATAGCGCAGCTAAATTTTAATAGATGTGACGCTGCCCATGATCTCATGTGTAAATTCGCCGAAGAAGAGGAGATTGATATTATTGTCGGTTGGGAACCAAACAAGGAAAGAAGATAAGTTACTCTTGCGACAGTTTCATACAAGTTTTTGCAGCAGCAAAATTGCTCCTGACCAGTAAGGACATTGGGAAAGGTTTTGTTTGTTTGAAATTTCAAAAATTTTCGATTATATCCTGTTATTTCTCCCCAAACTGCGACCTTGAGAATTTCGAGAGACTTCTTCAAGGTATGGAAGATACATATGCACTATTTTGCGGTGTGCCGCAGGGATCCATCATTGAACCAATCTTATGGAATCTGTTTTATGATAGAATTTTAAGAACAAGTGTGACAAAATACCTACACTATGTCCACGGGTTGGTACTTAGTGAAACTTTTTGTCCATCAGTTTAGGCATGTTATTGAATTCGTGACTGTTGATCTCCTAGGAAGAAATCCGTACTTGATGATATCCTTGCATTTTCCAGAAAAAATGTTTCCATTTATTTAGCAATCATCAGTTTGCACGTACGGCTTATTGATCCGTGAATGATAACATTGTATTTGGTTCCTTCTCTAAATATGGGGATATCATGTGCACTCTTCCAGATTTCCGGAAAGTTTCCAGATTCAGTAGGCTGGTTTATGGTCTCTGCTAGAGCAGCTGCCAGTAAATCTTGATATTTTTGCAGGTATACCATTCAATTATTGTCCACGCCGGGCTTCATGGGTGTTTATGCTACTTTAATCTTCCTATATATATATCCAGTTCTCCGTAAGATCTAGTTTCTGCGTAAGGTGAATGAAGATTTGTAAGATTTTCCTTAGTGTAGATTTGACCAAATTGATCTGCAAATAGGTTTACCACCATTTGAGTAGCAAAGTCCTTAAGTACACGTTCACATTGACACCGCTCAAGCGATGAGCATTATCTTCATTAATAGTTTCTCTTTAAGTACCCCTCTCACATTTCGGATCGTACCAACCTATTTTTATTTTTTGGCTCTATGGGTCACATTATTAATATGATATGATAAAGTAAGATAAATCTCCAGCCAAACTTCAAGATCTTCCACCAGATTCTTCATGTCCAATTCTATTGAACTCATCTTGCAGAAAGTGACAACATATTCAGGCTCAATCAGAGAAAATGTTAATCTGATTTTGCAGAGACTGACAATCACCATGATTATTAATAATTTTGAAGATTTTGAAATCATTTGCGAAAGCCAGAAACAGGCAGTCATCAAATATTGTTTCAAGATCATTCACTAATACCTACATTGAAGAAGAAAGTTGACAGATGTCCTCCTTGAGCAACATCTGACGATATATAGTTTACCATTTTGATAGACTGCCTTCTGTCTTACAAATTACTTCTAAGCCATTGAAAAACGAGCACTTGCAATACCAAATATTGAAAAAGTAGATTTTTAAAAGCCTTTGTATGTATTCAGAACTAAATATCAATTGATTATTGAATCAACCTCTATTTGTGAATAGACTTGACTTAAATCTAACTTGGTAAATTTATCATCTCTTACCATAGATGAAAAGACTTAAATCTTGGATTTATCGAAAATAACCACAAATGCAAACCCTGCCATTAGATTTAACAACCAGAATAATACGTGTATCATACTCAGAAATATTGACTTTCACAAGAACTAAAAGTACTGATTCTTTTTCTAGGTTTTCCAGGTGAAATTGTATCGCAAAGCGTAGGTATTGTCAGCCTCAGAACTCATGTAATGAAGTAAATATTCAATTTTTTCACCATCTAGTATTTGAAACACGCTTAATGCACTTTCTAAACCCATAATCCAACGATCAAATCCTTTGATAATATCATAAGAATCAATTAAAAATAGCATGTATAGTAGAACACGAAATGCCTGTAGAAATTTGGACATCTTCAATACTTAATTGTTGGGTTCTTCTTCTAAAAGGCATTGTTGATTCGTAGTTTCCTCGTCACCAATATATAATTTCAGAAGGCTACATTATTTCGTCCTCCGCCACTGCGCGTCTCCCAATTTTCATTACACTAAAAGATTTCTCAAGCCGAAAAAAGTCTTCGCCTGTCAATGACTACTTTTTTTCCGTCCTTAAACTAAATTAATTAGGGATTTAGCCAAGAGATTCGCTTCGAAATTGTACGCAATAAAAGTGGGATTTTGTTTTTACTTACAGTCCAGTCAGACGAGTCTACGACGAGAGTATTGAGAAGCTCAACTAGAGCCAGGCATTCTCAATCAAACGATGACGTCGCGCCAGAGTTTCAATCGAGAAGCGCCGAGGAAACTGAAGCCGCTCACGACTTACTGTCTCTATCCCAGAGCTTACCGCCTTTACCAGCGCCTAGCGTTGTTATGATCCATCACACTGTAAGCAATCTAAAACTTATCAATAAAATAAACTAATTATTATGTGTTAAAGGTACCATCTGAAGATGATTTGAGCCTCAGCTACCGCCCTTTATCAGTCGACAATGAGCCGAAAGTCATTCAATACACAAAAACCTACAAGCCGAAAAAAAGGCCGCTGAAAATGGTGCACCAGGACCGCGAACCTGTTATAGTTCAGAACCACACGTTACAAAATTTCGCGTTGGTTCATAATCCGCATCAGCCCAGCGAAAATGTTTTGTATTTGGTTCAGGTGGGAAGCGAAAGAGGGGGCGAGATTCAGGTGCAAGGCATGCCTACGCCACCGGCCAGCGAATGTAGTTCCGATGTGGAAACTATACAGGTAAAAATGTTGTTTTGACTTCCTGTTAGTTAACATTTAGTATGAATGATCCCTCTAACAAATGAAATTAAAAAATGAGATATTTGTAGTATTTATTTATTTAACTGATAGATTTGAGGGTGCAGCTCACAGCATCTCCAACTTGAATTATCAGATCTTGTCTCATATTCCAATGTTTTCTCGCAACTTAACAGGCTATGACAGCCACTTATTTATTGAACAGCTTTGTTATGAAAATAATACAATTGATATCCTTGCACAAACTACAATATTGGTTGATAGAATTGAACACTTTATTGAGCTTAGATTTTTAGATTATTTTTTTGGGACTTCCATTTTGATTTATAAGTAAAAACTCAAACTTGAATAACTCGGAAAAAACTGGACCTAGAAAACGAAAAAAAAAAATTCCAATTTTCCCTCCGAAACAAATGCCAGCATCAGCGGCCACGACCTGCCGATAACTTTTCCGGCAATCATTTTCCCGCAAAATTGTCGTGTCACTTTTAATCGAAATCTATTTCAGCTTTCGATGCAACAACAAGACAAAACGTCCAAACAAACTTTGAGCATCGACGAATCGGCCGATCTGATTGTGCTGCCGATGTCGCCCGAAGCTGACATACCATCTGGTCCTAGAGAATTCATAAGTGCAGCTGGAATACCGAATACACCTTCGGTTACTTTGGGCGCATTTGTGCCTCAAACTAAACCTAGTCTTTGGAGGCCTTTGGGGGAAAACATTAGGATAACTCATCCTAAAGCGGGCGAAATTAATAAGCCTACTACAGACGAAATTTGCTCAATGCTTCAAAGTAATGAACAGTTAAATGAGGGCCGGAATTCTACGATATTTTTAATGGATTTGCCTGATAGGAGACGCAAGAAGCGAGGCAGAAGTGAACCTGACAAGATGTTGAGCTTTGAAGTGAACGAGCAAAAGGAAAAGAAGAATGAAATTGCAACAGCTACAAAAACTGTAAGGATTTATAATACAGTAAGGGGTAGTAAAAATTTTGATTCTTATGGTTTGTTGCAGAAATTCTTCAAAGTAGTCGAAGAGGATATTGAAGAAGAAGAAGAACCAGTGGAATGCGAACAGAAAACCAAATTTTGTTGTTCGGAGTGCGGAAAATGCTACGCTACTTCCAGTAATCTTTCAAGGCACAAACAAACTCACAGGTAATAATATTCTACTAATTCGGTAACCAAAACACAAATTCAATCTTCAATCTATATTTAAGGAGTTTGGATTCGCATTCGGCCAAGAAGTGCAACCATTGCGGTAAGGCCTACGTTTCGATGCCGGCCTTGGCCATGCACCTGCTCACCCACAAGCTGGCTCACAGCTGTGATATTTGTGGAAAACAGTTTTCGAGGCCTTGGCTACTGCAAGGCCACCTGAGGTCTCACACTGGGGAGAAGCCTTACGGATGTGCGCATTGCGGAAAGGCTTTTGCCGATAGGTAAGAATTTGAATTAATTAATATTTTTCCGGCTCAAGTCCTGTCTATTCAAATATCAATTTATAAACCTTCTAACTTTTAAAAACTCATCGCCGTACTTTGAATCCATGAAAATCTCAAAAATTAGAGAACTCTGTAAAGTGTGAGATTTTGTGGAAACATAGCCATTCATTATTGGTTGTTAGATCTTGTTCTATGGTTGTTTGGATCAAGTTGAGGTCTTTTCCAAAGTATATCAGGCAGGTGTCATCCGCGTACAGGTATATGGCAGATCTTAGAACAAGTTTTATTATAGAGTTGCTGTATACTAAGAGAGTCGGTCCTAAGATAGATCCTTGTGATACTCCACATCTGACATCAGCTGGAGTGCTTAGTGTATTATTAACAGTCACTTGTGTTCTACCAAGTTAGTGCCATTCCTGTCACGCCATTCTGCTCTAATACTGATATTAATACAGAGTGTAAAAATAGTTTGGAATATTAGTAATATCTTGAAAACGGATAAATATTTTTCATTTAAAATTGGTATGCTTCAGTAACGAATAACTCCGGAACATCGAGGTATAAAATGGCCTATGTGGTGAGTCAATAAGAACGCAAACTTTTTTATTTTAAATGGCACACCCTGTAAATTTTCACAGATATCGATAGATCTTTGTAAGACGAATTCATTACTATGGGGTTTAGGGGTGTTCAGGGGGTGTTATCTGTCAAAGTGACGGAACAAGGGAACAAACTGATTTAAACTGTTCATTGTTATTAACATTAAAAATAATTACAACAAATATTGTAAACCAGGCATAACGATATTAATACACATACCGCGTGTAGCTCAATTCAGCTGGTGTAGGCACCGTAGTGAAACGGTAGAAGTAGAAATGTTGTTAAATTGAACAGGGTTTGGCAAGCTGTGGTTTGGCATTGACATTAGTGAATCGTAATCACCGCATCCATACCGGAGCACCATTTTCGTGAATTTAGCCACACGTGGAAACTGTATTGGGACTTAGAAATCCGCACTGATAAAACAATAACATGCAATAGACCAGACATCGTTTTCCAAAAAAACAAATAATCTATCTTATGAAATATTTATACCAAATGACCCCAATATTCAGACCAACTATAAGGAGAAGATAGCAAAGTATACGGAACTAGCCACAGAGACACTCGAAACAGAAAAAAGGTCATAATCATACCATTCATCATCTCAAGTAACTCGGTCTCAACCGTAACATTCACACAAACATGCAAAAGTATGTTATCCTTAAAACCTGCAATATAGTATGCTTATTCCTCAATTCGGGCAATAGATTCTGAGAAGACCGTCATCTCAGAAACACCACTTTGTGCAAAGTGAGAAAAAGAGAGATCATAATAATAAAATTATTAATAATAATAATAATTGCTCCTAGCAACACATAATGAACGAGACAAGATATGATACAGAGACCGCCTACAAGAAATCTGGCGAACGAAATTTCTGAACCTGCAGTTTGAAGCCCAGCGACTCTCTGATCAAGCAAGATCTGTCTTGAGACAAAAGGCAATTTCTGAAGCCGAACTTGACGCGCTTAAAAGAGAAGCTGCAGCATCACTAAACCTAGCCCAACCTGAACAGGGAGAAGTGCAGAGCGGAGCAGCCGAAAGACCGGAGAATGAAGAACAACAAGCAGAGCCCAGCGATGACGGAGAACAGCTGCAGGCACAGGAAGAGAATGACATAGAACAGATGGAAAAACTGGAGGGTACACTACGCGCATCTCTGCTCAAATACAAAGGTATGGAACCAACCGTGCGTCCCAAAATACCAAAGTTAAAATACTGACCTGAATCTAGAAAGACCGTTGCTGACATGAACGCTGTTCTTCGGAACTTCGTGCGGCGGTGTGACTCTCTGGAGAAAACCCACGAACTGGCCTACTGCGCTGCGGATGCTGTTGTCTTCTTGATAGAGAAGCCTAAAAAAAAACAAAAAAACATTACTAATGAAAAAGTCACTCCACCTTGAAAAAAAAGGCTTCAAAAGAAGATAAATAGCATAAGAAAAACAATAGGAAAACTACAGTCATATATTCCGAACCCCGCAGACCACAAAAGAAAACTGAAAAAGGAAATCAAGAACATCGTAAAAGAAGCCAAGATCAAGAGAAACGCCCCAGATTACCAACAGTAATATAAAACTTACCTTAACAAACAAAAACAAAGAGTAGCTGTGCTTGGCGCTAGAATACCATAAACGTAACCGCCGCTTCCGGGAAGGTTGTAAGGAACAACTTATTATAGACTCCATAATAATGAAACAAACAGAAAAGTAACAAAGAAATCTTATAGCATGTTACATAGATTACAAAAAACGTTCGACTCTGTATCACATTCATGGTTAAACAAGGTGCTACAAATTTATAAAATACATCCAGTTATTAGAAACTTCTTGTCAACCATCATGAACACCTGGAGAACAAACATATATTTAACAACAGGAACGGAACAACTAAAAACACAACATTAATATAAAAAAGGGAATCTTCCAAGGAGACTCTCTGAGTGCACTTTTGTTCTGTCTGTGCCTCAACCCACTCTCCACTGAATAACACAAAATGCGGCTTCCAGATTAAACACCAAAGCAGAGTAAAACACAGAATCAACCATCTGCTTTATATGGACGACATCAAAATATATGCACCAACACAGACACAAATGAAGGGATTACTGAGAATAACGGAAAAAGTTACAACAGACATAGGAATGGAATTTGGAATCAGCAAATGGAAAATATTACATATAGAAAGGGGTAAATGGAAAGACGAGATCGACACAGAAACACTTCACAATGAAAAGCTTGATAACATGCAAATTGATGAAACATATAAATATCTGGGATATCAACAGAACACAAGAATAGATCACATGACCATAAAAAAAAACAACTAACTAAGGAGTTCAAGAATCGTTTAACTCTAATACTGAATACAAAATTAAACTCAAAGAATCTGTTCAAAGCTATCAACACGTTTGCCATCCCGCTACTTACATATTACTTCGGAAAAATTAAATGGACAAAAACAGACCTAGAAAACATAAACATCCTCACAAGATCTGAACTGACGAGGAATAGTAAACTACACCCAAACTCATGTAAAGAGAGAATCACAATAAGCAGGACGGAAGGCGCGAGAGGGCTAGTAGACATTCACGTACTCTATGCAAAGCAGATACAAACCCTCAGAGAATACTTCCACAGCAAGCAAACTTCATTACACTCAGCAGTCGCGCAAGCAGATAAAGAATATACACCACTTAACCTCTCTCAGTCTGACAACAAATACAAACACAACAACAGAGAATGGAGGAATGGTCATAAAAGAAACTACACGGAAAACACGTGTACATCATGAACAACAAACAGATTCAAAAACAAGAATCATATAGATGGCTGCAGAAAGGACAACTCTACCCAGAAACAGAAGGCTTTATACTCGCCATACAGGATCAGGTGATAGCGACCAGGAACTACCAGAAATATATACTGAAAAATACAGAGATAAGCGACCTATGCAGAAAATGCCACCAACACCAGGAAACTATTGATCATGTAGTAGGAGGATGTAAAATACTGACAGGCACGTCATACACAGATAGACACAACATTGCAGCTAAAGTAATACACCAAGCATTGGCCCATAAATATGGCCTAATCACCACAGAAACACCATATTACCACTACACGCCAGACAGTATACTTGAGAACAAGAGTTTCAAACTCTACTACGACATAGATATACGCACGGACAAAACTGTACAGCATAACAGACCAGATCTCACTCTGATAGATAAGGTAAATCAAAACACATATTCAATAGACGTAGCAATACCTACCGATAAGAACATCAGCAAAAAGTACGCAGAAAAAATTGAAAAATATACGCCCTTGGCAATGGAAGTTGAAAGAATTTGGAAACAGAAAAAAGTCCACATCATACAATTTATAATGTCCGCAACAGGCATAAAACATAAAGCATTCACTCAACATCTAAAACATCTGCAGCTAGATAGAGTCATACATGAGTACATACAGAAAGCCATAATACTAAAAACATGCAATATAGCCTGAACTTTCCTCAAGTAGGTAGTAATTTCACTAGGTAGACTTGGTACCCACCCGTCTGCCTAGGAAGAAACCGGTTGAATCCGAGAGAACATTTGAATAATAATAATAATAATATACTTTAGAAAAGACAGGCACATCAAACATTAAGGAAACTTTCAAACTATGGAGCCAAAGAAATCCAAACTCAGCACGTAAACTTACAGCAAATACAATGGCTACCAACCGAAAGGAGGTTCATATTAAATACCGATAAATTGACAACAACGGAAATAGAAAATATCAAAAAGCAGATAAAAGTGAGCCTCACACAACCCAAAAAATGATACCGCAGATGAAAAAAATAACCAAACACGGAACGAATCTTTCCGTGAAAACGAAACCACGCAAGAAGAAAAAGAAGAAGAATCTCAACAAGAAGCAATAGATGAATAACAAAACCCACAAGAAGATATGGAAGAAATATCAAACATGACTTCTGACATCATGAAGAGAGTGCAAGAAGACAATATCACAAATGGCCACATAGAACGACAAAAGCTAAAGAAAATCAACGAAAGGGCAAAAGCAAAATACTACATACAACTTGAGAACCTAGCAGCAACAAAAATCTTAAATAGCACCCCTGAAGAGAATATCAACCTAACTCTCGCGAATAAGCTTATTTATGCGACTGCAGCTGCCCTACAAGACAAATTAATCCCCATTAGTCGTAAAAATGTTAAAATAAACAAAGAGAAAGATCCGCCTTGGAAAAAAAGAATACAAATCAAAATCAACAATATGAGAAAAGAAATATCGCAACTGAAGAAATGCCTTAAATCAAACCTATCTGAGGCAATGGCAGATAAAAAGACCTACTTGTATTCTAAACATGAAATAATAACAAATGACCATGTCAGAGCAACTGAAAAATTGAAACAAAAAGTGTTAGCTAAGGCTCAAAGAGTCAAAAGATACAGCGAAAGAATCACACAGTTTTACCAGATTAAGGTATTCGCTGAAAATACACAACAGTTCTATAGTAACATCCTAGGAACGAAGAAAAAAGTCCAAATAACACTGCCACCCGAAGAAATAGAAAAATATTGGAAGGACATATGGGAAAGAGACGACAAACATAGAACGGATGCAGGATGGATACAAAAATAGTACGACAACACAAAACATTTAATAAGAATGGAATGGAATGATATTAAAGTTGAAGAACTAGTGAAAGCCATCAGTACAACATCGAACTGGAAATCACCTGGAGTAGATGGAATCCCAAATTATTGTCTGAAAAAGCTAACCGCATATTACGATATTCTCACACTTCTGTTCAATAACATCATTGCGGAGAAAAAAAGCATACCAGACTGGCTGACGAAAGGCAGAACCCACTTAATACCAAAAAACAAGGAAACGAACCAGGCCAAGAATTATCTACCGAATTATCACCTGCCTCAACAATACATACAAATTACTAACTAAAATAATTTCTGAAAGACTGCATAACCATATCACTGGAAACAAGATCTTTCCCAGCGAACAAAGAGGCTGCGCAAAGAACACATATGGATGCAAATATCACCTACTAACCAGTGCCACAATTCACAAAGACTGTAAAGAAATGCGTAAAAACTTGTTGATAGCCCGGTTGACTATAAAAAAGCCTTTGACAGTGTCCCACATAGCTGGTTGATAGAAGCACTGAACATTTACAAAGTGTCGCTCACGCTTCTAAAATTCATCTCCAACTCAATGGCGCACTGGACCAAACCAGGTCACCATTAAAATCATCAACATCAAAAGAGGAATTTACCAAGGAGATTCTTTTATCACCTTTCCTATTCTGCATAGTCCTATTCCCGAAAAGCTCTATATTGAATAACACAGATACTGGATACCTATGCAGAAAGGAAACAAAAAAAATAAACCATCTTCTGTATGTAGATGACCTGAAGTTGATCGCAAAGAATAATCAAGAACTAACAAAGCAGATCGAACTTATGAAACAGTTTAGTGAAGATGTAAGAATGCAATTTGGGTTAGAGAAGTTTGCAAAAGCAACATTCCGAAAGGGAAAAATACAAACAAGCAATACCATCAGAATTACAGAAACTGAAGTGATTAAGGCCCTTGAACAACACGAAGCATACAAATACTTGGGCATCTGTGAACTTGACGGGCTGGAATACTACAGAAGAACGCGAGAGACTTAAATCTGAATTGAGTGCAAGAAATAAAACCACAGCCATCACCTCGCTTGCAGTGCCAGTCATTCAATACAGCTTCGGAGTTATTAAATGGGCAATTGCAGAAATGCAGAAAATAGATAGACAGACAAGGAAACTGATGACGATGCATGGAGCTCTACCCCAAGATCAGATGTGGATCGCCTGTACGTCTCGCGCAAGGGAGGAGGAAGAGGAATGGTGAGTGTGGAAGCCAGTCACGCCATAGCCATCATAGAAGGATTGAAGCTCTACCTTAAACTGAAATAAAAAGATAAATACCTTGGCAAACTCAGAAACAACTTACACAGGATGAAGAAGAAAAACATGAACCAAGCAGCACCCGACCAACATGAACCAAAAACAAAAAAAGTAAAAAAGTTTAAGCAACAATTGAAAGAAAACGAAACAAGAATGAATAAGTAAGTGGACAGAAAGGCGATGCACGGCCAAATAGTGAAAGAAGTTAGCAAAGAAACGATAAACAAAGAACAATCTTGGAGGTGGCTTACACATATGAACCTGAAAGCTGAAATAGAAACTCTTGTAACAGCGTGCCAGGAGCAGGCACTTGCAACAAACTACATGCAAACAAGGATCATGAAGACCGGCGAAAACCCGAAATGTAGACTCTGTCGGTCATACAGGGAGACTGTCCATCATGTGGTGGCTGGATGCCCAATCTTGGCAGAAAGTGCTTACCTTGAACGTCATAACAAGGTTGCAACACAGCTACACTGGAACATCTGTAAGCACTACAAATTAGAAGTTGAAAAAAATGGTTTGAACATATCCCGGAAGCAGTTCTAGATACACCAGAAATAACTATACTATGGGAGGTTCAAGTGCAGACTGACAGACACATAGCATCAAATAAACCAGACATCATATTGAAGGATAAGAAACAAAGAAAGTGTCTGCTAATCGATGTTGCTGTGCCGTCGGATTATAACATCACGCACAAGGAAGCCGAGAAAAAGTTGAAGTACAAGGACCTGCAAATAGAAATACAGCGAATGTGGAATTATAAAACTAAGATCATACCAATAATCATAAATCACAGGGCTGATATCCAACGTTACTTGTGAAGCGATAAAAGAACACAAAACCTCCTGTTGATGCAGAAAGCTGTAGTGTTGAGTACAGCGCATATAGTACGCAAAGTGCTATGATCCTGAAGTCATCTAAACAAGGGAACACCCCAGGGGCATGGCTTGCACTCGGTGATTCCCCAAGAACGAAACCATAACCCAAGAATAGTTATGTGATGCAAAGTCAAATAATACCGGACTACATAAAAATCTACGCTTCAACATCGACACAACTTAAAGGACTGCTCAAGATCACAGAAACATTTACAACGGGCATACAAATGCAATTTGGTATGATAAAATACATATAGAGAGGGAAAATGGAAAGAAAGCTTAGAGGGAGAAACATTGAACAATGAGATAGTTACTGGACAATATGACGGAACGCGAAACAAATAAATACCTCAGATTCCAACAAGACACCAGATTAAACACACAGATATAAAAACATAATTGACGAAGCAATACAAACAAAGATTACGAGCCATATTAAAAACGCCACTGTATTCAAAACACCTCTTCAAAACCATTAAAACATTTGCAATCCCAATACGGAACTAGCTATAGAAGTTCAGAGATACTGGAAACAGAAAAAAGTTATAATCATACCATTCATCAGCTCAACCACGCATCTTTAATGCACATCTCGAGCAACTCGGTCTCAACTCTAACATTCACATAAACATGCAAAAGTCTGTTATCCTTAAAACCTGCAATATAGCAGGCTCATTTCTCAATTCGGGCAATAGATTCTGAAAAGACCGTCATCTCAGAAATACCACTTTGTGCAAAGTGAAATAATAATAATATTAATGCAAGGTCATTAAATTCCACAAGACTAGAAACTTTAATAATTTTGTCTATCACATTAATGGTAGTCCATTAGCCTGCGTGGATCAAATCAAAGACGAAGATGTGCTATCAACCTCAAATCTAGATTTTTCAGCTCATATTGACAACGCAATCAACAAAGCTTTACGCATGCTTGACTTTGTGAAACGTAGGACACGGGGCTTTTCGACCTTTAATGCCATTAGAACTTTGTACTATTACTATGTCAGATCATATTTAGAGTATACTGCTTCACTATAGTTTCCTAATTATGCATGCCATGTACATTGAATTAAAACTGTTCAGAGCAAATTCTGCAGATACATTAACTACAATAATGAATTTCATTATTCTGACTTATGCACATCATTAAACTTAACAACTCTCTCCTGTAGAAGAAAGCAAAGAGATCTAATACTAATTCAAGAACTCATAAACTCTAGTATAGGTTGTCCCTATTAAACTTTCAGAACTGGATTACATGTTCCATCCTGGAACACTCGTACTACACAAACTTTTCACCTACAGTTTCACAGAACTAATTATGCTTATCACTTATTGGTTTTTCTTCATGATCCACCTCCACATTTTTTGTCTTAATTTACTCCCCTTGTATATACCGTTCCTTCTCAAAATATTTCCCAAATATAATTTCCAAAAGAATTCTGGAAAACTAGAGGTGTGACATCAACTTGAAAGCTTCAAATTGTCTAATCTAGGGATGATTTTTAAGCAAGTGCACTTTGATATCTGATATATTTATGATTATTCTTTCTTTCAGGTCGAACCTTCGTGCGCACATGCAAACCCATTCCAACGAAAAACGATTCGAATGTCCGAATTGTTTCAAAAATTTCGCCCTAAAATCGTACCTAAACAAACATTTAGAGTCGACTTGCGTCAATTACGGTGCCGCCGATGCGAAAAATAAAGAAATAAAAATCAAAGAGCAACCGAAAAAGAACGCCGAAACGCAAACCCTAACAATAGACGACACGACTTTTTCGATAATTGTGGATTAAGTTTTAGGATGATAGAGTGGAAAAAAAATGACCAATTTTTCTAGTTGTTTGGTAAAAAATTGCTCAAAATAAAAAAAAAAAATTATAGGGAGGGATCGTAATTTTTACCGTGTTTCGGAGAGGCCGTTAATTTCCAAACGACTTCACCAGCGGTATTTTTATTATTAAATATTCTTTTAATATCCCGTTTGATGTTACTTTGTTTTGTGCGTGTAAAAAAAATATTAAAAATTATTCATCCCTTGTACAAACATAAGCAATATTTAAAATGAATTCAGAATTTAGGACAAGCAACGAAGTAAACTTTAATTTTTAAACAGGGCTTATTTTTTAGTTGAATGTGCGTTTTAGAACTACTGTTACAACGAACATTATTATACAACTGGGTTTTTCTAGAATAAAATTTGATGTGATACTTATTTTAGTTGTGTTCGTAGAGTTTAGGAATTTTGGGTTTGAGATTGATGTATTTTTTGAATTAATCACTTTTAATGAAATATTAATTTTGTCCGAATTTTTGTGCCACGCAATTGGCACACAATAATCACCCTACGAGTCTTGAAACTCACCGTGGCCCCACGTTGGGCGCCAATTTGTAAGATAATTCTTTGGGAAGTTGAGTACACGGAAAGAATTAAACGAAAACCGATAAGGAAAATTGATTACTGTATATTGGTCTTTGTAATAACAAAGAAAACGAAAATGAAATTTGCACTATCGCACTATGAGCGTTGACATTGGTTGTCATCTCAAGCGTTTGCCGTTTACTTGTAGCCGACCAGTGGCTTGGGAATTAGGGAATTTTGTTACGAATTCTAATTTTGAAATTTAAAAGATGATATCCCTAGGTTTTTTCGTAATTTAGTTGGCTATGATAGTCATTTTCTAATATTTCCATTCTCTCGAAGACATTTTAAGAAAATATTCAAAAGTTTATACCATCGAGGTTGCATGTGCTCTTATGAAAAATGAAATTAACGTCTCAAAGGACAGCGGTCTGGATACAATGAAATGACACTATTCCGATGACAGGTCTTCGCATCTGGAAAAACCTATTAAAGTTTTCCATCGAAGACCGGCGGTCATCCAAATTTTCTTGACACTTTCGCATTGAATATAATTCCGGCGCCAGATGCGAAACGTCAGAAAATCTGATTGAATGTTTTTTTTGAGCAGGAGGCAGAGGGTTATTCATTCTCCATAGAAAAATAAATTAAAATATTTTATTATTTAAGTGATTGATTCAAAATATTGAAGAGGGTGTATTTTGTTTGTATTTTTGGTTGAATGGTTCCATAACCAAAAATTACAAACTGAATACGCACCGGAACGTAAAAGTCTACAAAGAAAGGTGATAGTATATATTTATTATAGCAAGCTTTATATAGTTTTTTAAAACAGGCATTTTAGAAATACGTAATGTTTTTGACAACAATTTTATATAAAAAAAATGGCTTTATATCGACACTCTTGCGCTAATTTTCGTTTATTTATAATAATAACAGTGTAAACACACTCAAATATTGTCTACCCTGTTATTCTTCTAAAAATCTATGCACTTAAAATAGTACATACTTATTCAAAGTTTTAACTTAGAGATTCGGAAGCAATAAAGTATCTAATTAGTAGACTGTAAAAACGTAAGACACCCTGTAAATTGAGGCTGGAAAATTTTAAATATAGAAATGATTAGATTTGTAGATAATAGTGTATGCATTATAAACTATTTTATCTATCCTCTGTATCTAGGAATTATTAAAACTGTACTCATTCACCTTTAGTCGACAAAAAAAGCAATAATAAATGATATTTTTCAATTGTATTTTTGTGTTTTAATGTAGCAATCCTATTGATTTTTATGTAGGTAATTTTGAAGTGACTCCTGATTTTCATTATATATTTGAATTTTTTCAATTTTGGTAAGTTCTCCTAAGATAGGAGGTGTTAAGTTTTAAGACCTAAGCTTCAGCTGTTTGATGTTACGCTTTTATGAATTCAAACTTCAAGATTTCGTACAAGAATATGCTTTTATTTCTGAGCGATACATTTTTAATATGCGGTATGGTACTATTCACGCAAATACGCAACTTTAATTTAGTTTTGGTCACACGAAATTTTTAATAGTTCGCGTTAAGAGAGAAAGAAAATAAAGTCATACATTTTCTCGTATTTTGGTTGGCGCCGCCGCAATTTTGGGTACCTTCTAGCCATGGCCAGAAAACCCAGGAAGTGGTTCGACTAAATATAAATCGATATATCGCCGGCGTACTTAGAAGCGTAAAGAATTTTTCCGGTATCGGTAGTATTGCCATTCTCTCGCTGTTAAATCCTTTGGACATTTTCATATATTTTAGTAGATTGTGAAATTGTTGGAGTTTGGGAGGAAGTCCTACAGGAGCTCCTGTTCATCGTCACACCGAAGACCAGGTACGTGCCACATCCATTAAAATATTCGATTTTGTATGGCTACGCGTTTCAGATAAAATTTAGTACATGTTTATTTCTTTTTTATTATTGGATCAAAACTACGCAAATTGCTGACCTAACGTGTTTACAGTCCCGCGGCTCTCAAACATCATTCTTGATTTCATTCGCATTCATTCATTCTTTCAAAAACATGGACCTTCCATGGGTTCAGGTTTTTTTGGAAGACGATTGGGTTTAATTAACCGAAGAGAGATGCCCTATTATCCTAGATACGACAATATGGGGTCATTGATCCGTAATTTGCACGTCTGAGACTCTAGTTGAATAATTTTCGAAATACCTAGTCGTAGAAAAAAAGGTGTGGGAGGTAGAAAGGGCGTTTATTGTTTTGAGAACGTTCATTTGCGCAGGCCTGGAGACCAACAGAAAGGGTCGAAGAGAAAGTCGAAACATCATTTTGCGTGATCTACGCACATGGTCAATTGTTGATATTTTTCAATTAATTCACGTTTTGTTGGTCCGATTTTGTTCCTTTTTTCTCCAAAAAATATTAAAGGTACCTATTTTTATAAATAATGAATCAGATATTTAATTTTCAAATTGTCTTCAATAGACTTTAATATCGAACCGGTCCTAGGCCACAAACTAAAACCCAGTTCTAGCCGGCTATAAGGGTACAATCGGAAAATCCCCCGGCAAAGTATCCTTTTAACCCCAAAAAGCGACCCGATCCAAATCCGATTCGGTCCCTGAAATAGAGAGAAAACCTGGAAAAGTTATCGCCCTGGATACAAATCCTTAGAAATGGGGCCGGGCCCAAAAGCCGATAGGATATTGCGGGCAATAGGAAATGTTATTGTTAATTTTTGAAATTGCATTTTTCTATACAATAATGAATTGGCAACGATAAAAAGCGGAATTCGTATTTGCACCTGATAAATCTGGAATTAACAGGTTTAAAAGGGAGCCCGACCTCGAGAAATAAACTACCTTTTCACACGACATACAATTTAAAAATAGAGTATTTTTTCCCAATAATAATTTTATTTTTATAAAATCCTAATATATTTATACTGTTTAATAATTTCCCATAAAAAACATTGATAATAATATGAAACAAAAGTTTAATATTGCTTCGAAAAAATAAAAACCGAATTAAAGTCTCTCGCCTCCTGACTTCTGCTTAAGGCTCGTTACGTATTCATTGAAAAAAATAAATTCAACGCGACCTTGTTAAGCCTGAGCTGTTTATGATACTTTCCGTGGGCCCCTAGGGGCTTCGCTAGTCAAATAATCATTACGTTCGCATAATGGTAAAATATGCTTTCTCATGAATTCTAAATTCTCTTGCACGGAAGGAACAATTTATCGAAAACGATTTTGTGTTTAGGAATTTATTTTTTAACTCCTAGGAATAATAATAAGCATTTAAGGCCGCTCCAAGATTTTCAAGATACGTTTGCTTAAGGACCTGAAACCCTTTAAGTCTTATTTGTGCAAAGGCTTAACGACTCAAGAGCCAGTTAAATTAGTGGTTACGAGACATTTAAGCTGGGTGGATTAATTTTACGATCCCAGTCTTGGATTGGAAGTTTGTCTGGGCACACTTGGAAAAAAGGGCTTTTGGAAACTATCGGGATATGTCACTAGTTGAGTAAAGTGAAAATTTTTCATTTCAGAATCAAATTTCTTGGCATTTCTCTTCTCCATGTTTTCTCAGCTCATCAAGAAAAATGATCGCTCATGCACGTTGAATTTGCAACATCGGCGAGAGTATTATTTGAGAACGTTTAAAGAGAGAACATATTAAATCGGACCAACAGAAGATGAATTATTTGAAAAAAATTGAGCACAGTACCATTGACCATTAGCGCAAATGACCCAAATTGTATTTTGATTTTGCCTTAACTACCAGGAATGAGCACCACTTGAATGAATGTTGAATGAAAGAGTGGGCGGCCGTGATCGTAGTGCACATAGGTCACCTGTGGTGGACCCGTCGTGCCCCATTGAGTTCTACCAGAGGCCTATGTCCTTAGGAAAGCCAATCAGGCATCCTGGCTTCATCCATTTGACGTCATCAGGCAAGCAATACAACTTGCCCAGGTGTTTGAACCTCGCGCGCGTGAGTGCTGGGCACTCACCAATGACGTGGCCAGCCGTTTTTTTCTCTTCTATGCACCAGCGGCATTCCGGGTCGTCTGTTATGCCCATGTTGTGGAGATGGCGTCTTAGGTGCCAGTGTCGGGTTAGGAGACCAGTCACCAGCCGTATCTCGCCTCTGTTCAAGCGCAGTAGTTGCTTGGTGAGACAGGCAGAGGGCCCATCAATATGAGCCTTAGCCTGTCTCATGCCAGATGCTTCCATCCATCTCTCAAAGAATCGCTCCGCGAGGATACCCTTGAGGGACGCGACAGCCTCATATTTGGCTATGCCCAGCGTGGGCTCAGGGCCCACAGGTGGCATCGATGATCCCTGTCTGGCAAGTGAATCAGCTTCGTCGTTGCCCGCGACGCCCGAGTGACCGGGCACCCAGACGAGACGGACCCGGCAGCCGGCACTCACCAGTCTTCCCAGGACTTTTTTGCACTCCATTACAAGCTAAGAGCGCACAGTGTCAGCCATAATGGCTTTGATAGCGGCTCTGCTGTCGGAGCAGATTGGAACGACTGCATTCCTGTGGCGCCGGTTCAAAATTTCCCGGCCATACTCCATTACAGCGAAAATTTCAGCCTGGAAGACAGTAGCGTGTTCCCCTAAAGAAAAGGATTTACTAATTTTAGGGGACCCTCCGCAAAAACCTGCCCCCGACCTGTTATCCATTCTGGAGCCATCCGTGTACCAGATAGCTCCACTATTCAGTACAATTGGCTTGGAGCCGCCCAGCCATTCACTTCTTTCAGTGATATGGGCCTCCAAGCCTTTGCTATGAACTAGCTCCGGTCGCATGATATCGCTGCCCATCATAAGGACAGGACATTTCTCTGCGGCCTGAGACCAAATTCTCGCGTGTCCGGTTTCGCCGGTGCGCATTTCGTCAAGGACGTGCAATCTATAGGCTGTCCTCATGGCCTCGAACTGAATCACGAGGTCCAGGAGCGGGAGACCTAGGAGGGTCTCCAGGGCCCTTGTTGGGGCCGTACGCATGGACCCCGTTATGCTTAGGCAGGAAAGGCGCTGGATTCTGTCCAGTTGCGCCCGTATTTTGGCTTTCTCCGTGCAAGGCCACCAAACGATAGCCCCGAACGTGAGAAGAGGTTTAACTATTTATAGAGTTATGAATCCAGTAAAGGATCTTCGGTGAGAGACCTCAGGTGCAACCAAAGGCCCGTCTGCATGCCCAAAGGGCACAGGTAGCCTTTTTCATCCTGGAAAAGAGTAGGAGCTCCGCCTTGTTATGGTTTATCCTGAGTCCTTCCGCAAGGCACCACCGGTCCACTATGCGCAGAGCCTTTGCCATAGGGCCCTGCAGTGAGACGGCGTCCTTACCCGGACAAAGGATAACCAGGTCGTCGGCGTAGGCCTGAGTATACAAGCCCTTTTTAAGCCAGTAATCAGGTCGTCAATCACCAGGCACCACAGAATCGGGGATAGAACTCCACTCTGCGGAAAGCCTCTGGCGGCCACCGCTCTAACCACCGCGTTGTTAAGCTCTGCGGACACTCGGCGTTGCGAGAGCATGGCCTCTATCCATCTCACCAGACACGGCTCTAAGCCACGCCCTACGAGAGCTCCGCAGATGATGTTGAAAGGGGTATTATCAAATGCCCCTTCAATGTCAAGGAATGCCACCAGACTGGCCTCACCAGATTCCCTTCCACCTTCCTGACCAGGTGGTGCAAGGCCAGTTCTGTGGATTTGCCAGTCTGATAGGCGTATTGTTGGGTGTGTAAAGGTCTGGAAACCAGTATGCCTTCCTTCACATACTGGTCTAGTAGCCTCTCCAGAGTCTTGAGAAGGAGTGAGGCTAATGGGTCGGTACGATTTTGGGTCGGAGTAGTCACTCCGTCCGGTTTTCGGAATGAAGGTGACCTTCACTGCTCTGGAATGCATCCATGAGCGAGGCAAGATCTGAAGATCTCTACCAGGTGGACAGTGATGATATCCGACGCGTTTTGCAGCTCAAAACTTACTACTTTTTTGGCGGTGTCGTGCCCAGCGCTAATCGGGGCCCGAACGCCGGCCAAGACAGCGTTGTTTGAACTGGAGCCCGGGAAGTGCGTACGGAGCATGACCTCCAGGGTTTCCTGTTCGTTCGTCGTGAAGCCACCGCCCGGAAGAGACAGTGACCCTATTCTACTACCGGGCTCCTTTGACAGAGCCTTGCAGGGGCGAGCTGCTGGGGATAT